TAAATTTTTGTATAAATTTTTTATTTGTATAAAAAATGTGGATTCAGTTTTTAAAAGTTAAAAAAAAAAATTTGTTTAATGGGGAAAGATATGTAAGATTTCCAACAGGGCCAATGCCTGTTTTGTGCCAATCAAATTCAAATGGACTATGAAACGTTGAAGTCTTTAAATGCTCAATTTTAGTATTGGAGGCCCAAGCTTTCAAGACGGATACTCTTCAACAGAAATCTACACTTTTTTTTCCCTTCAAAGAAAAAAAGAAATCTACACTTTCCGTACATTTATCATTTGTACCGTTAAGTGCATATAAATTGGAGGGAATGGAATTAACACTTTACCTTCTCAACTGTTTTCTGCCATGATATACGAATTATGCATACATGTCCAACTAAGTTCTTTTAATCTGATATAAGAGACTGATTACTGATGCCTACTAGTTCAGACATCAATGTGTTTTTTTATTTCTGGACGAGCAAATCTTTGGAATATATCGTTGTAAATGCAAGAAGAATAATTGGAAGCAAATTTGGTTTGTTTAGTTAAATTGGTTTAATTTGCAAAATATGGCAAAATTGGTATAGAAAGGTGCATGCTCGTTGTATTTTTTATGGCAAAATCTCACTTCTCATATTATTTTTTATTTCAATATTTATTAGATCGTTGTATCCTTCAAAAACATCTCATTTTAATTCGTTTCATGTCCCTTTAGGTTCCAACAATTATTTATAGGGTAGAATACAAAAAATAAAAAACTAAATAACAATACATAACAGAAAACGAAAAATCAGAAAATTTATTAAAAACCCATTTTTAGTTTAATTTTATTTCTCAAGTATGTGATCTTTTATATTCTGCTCTATTAGTAGTATTAGAATTTAAAGGGATAAAAAAAAGAATTAAAATAGGATGATCATGAAAGATATATGGCAATTTAATAAATGTTGAGGTAGAAAATAGTAAAAAAAGTAGGGCAGAAAATGTTTTGCGCGATTGTATATGGCCAAGAGGAAGAACGCGTTATGAAAACTTCTTCTACTTACTAAACTAATTTTCTTCAAATTTGGTTCTACGTCGCTTAATTGCATTGCCTTCAAGAGAGACTCAAAATCCATGTCTAGTCTTATAGCTAAGTTTTATTGAATTGCACGAACAGTTAAGAGGCCATCTTACATATTATTGTTCATTTTCATGCAAGTAGCACAGAAATAGACTATTACCAAAATGTTGACTTTGGATTCCCTTAATAATTAAAAGTTGGAAATTAAGTTATTTTCATACTCCCTCCATCCCATTGAAAGTATCATATTTTTTATTTTAAGATTCCACAAAATATTTGTCACGTTAAGAAAATCAAAGCCTTTTTCAGTTTCTTCTTCCAATATAGTCCCTCTGTTTAATCATATGTATGTTACAATTCAAATTCAAATTTTAAATTTGTGAGAGTAAGATTGAAAAGGAAAGTATAAACATCACAATCAAACCACTATTCTTAAAAAGTTGGATTCTTGAAACACGATAAAATAATTGGAACAGAGGGAATAATTAAAGGATGGAGCTAATATACGTAGCACAGAAATCGACTATGGCCAAAATATTGACTTTGGATTCCTTAATAATTAAAAGTTGGAAATTGAGTTATTTTCATAGTTAAAAGATGGAGCTAATATAAATCTTTCTTAATTTCGTAATTGTCACCTACTGATTTTCAGTCTGGCTAATGGATGTATATGACGGCCTTATGGACGTACAATAAATTAATGCCTAAAGTGTAGATTTGGGCACATAGTTTGCTCCCTGGCCTTTTGATTTCTGTTCATAGCTAACCAATTAATTAAGAGGCATATTCTAGATTGAATACAAACGAAATAATTCATTCTCCTGAAATTTTTACACTTGCCGCAAGGAAGACTAACAAAACAAAACCTTGAGGCATAGTTTAGGAGTTTAGGATACAAAAGCAAGGAGGAAAAGCCTTGGTCATTATATTTATAATTTTTTGGAGAGAAAATTTCACCAAGTAAAAAGTCTTTTAAAAAATAACCCCAAAATTTCTTTACTTCTACAGTTCTTTCATTACAGACCATCCAAACTAGTTGTCACTCCACATTATCTTTGGACTTCCAAAAAAAAAAAAAGGAAAAGTATTTGTTACTTTTGGTACAAAGGGTGCTAAATTTACTTTGGCTTTTCTAAATTTACACTTTAAATATATAGATGCTTTTTTTTTTAAGTAGGGCATCTTGACTTTAAATATATAGATGACTATTGACTTGTACGGTAAATATTACCATTTTTTTAAAGTATGCATTAAAAATAAATTACTGGATTTAGCATTTCCCTTATATAATCCACGAGTTATGTTTCTTAATGAGTTTTTGGGCTGAATACGTTCTCGTCTAAGTTGGCTTATGGACGAACATGAAACTTTGAGAATGAACTTGATTATGAAGCAAAAATCTGAAGAGAACCATCTGTTTTCGAGTACAAATGCTATTTGTTTGGCAAACGATATTGACAGAGCAATTATTTTCTTGGCAAAGCAAAATTTTACAAATATCAAGATTACCTTCAATCAATCAACTTTATATACGCTCATTGATTTTTCTATACACTAATCACTGCTCTTTTTTCTCTCTAATTAAGTATTTTATGTTATGGTCTCTCACTCTCCCCTCGGCCCCCCTATTATTCTTCTCTCTCTCTCTTGCACTCACATTGATTGATCAATTATTTTTTATAATTATATAACCTAGTTTGGTGATAATCTTTATAGAAATTTTTTTGCTTCAACAAGCTCTTGTTATTCAAATCTAACACTTTTATTCAACTTTTTTAAAACATGATTCAACTCCAACAAATTTCGGTTTAAAATGATTTCTGTTATGATGCCATTGTAACTCAATGCTTTAGTATATTTAAAAATTTTTTTGACATGCAACATGTATTTTTCCTTTAAATTTTGCTTGTTTATCGTACCTTTGAACAACTAATACTATTAAAATTTTTACTACATTTTCCACTTTTATACTAGACATGTAAATCTTGGCTTCTATTAAGTACTCATATTTGTCATGTAAGCTTTGGTTTCTATCAAGTAGTCATATTCTCTTATACATTACATTACGTTGTATATTTCACCCGTCCTCGCTTCTTAAATTCCAATATTCCCTTGCTAAAAAAAATCCTTTTATATTCCTTAAAGATTGAAGGAAAAGTAAAGCTATTTATTTTTGGGTTATTTTCATTTTTAGCCTATTGTTTGAGTTAAATATATAGATGACTATTGACTTGTATTGTAAATATTAACATTTTTATAAAGTATGGATAAAGAATAGATGACCGGATTTAGCATTTCCCTCATATAATCCAGGAGTTATGTTTCTCAATGAGTTTTTGGGCTGAATACGTTCTTTGTTGCAAAAATGAAACTTTAAGAATGGACTTGATTTTGCGTAAAAATTTAAAGAGAACTGTCTGTTTTTTAAGTAAAAATGCCATCTGTTTTGATACCCATTTTGTTGCAAAAAATTTTCACTCTCACAGTAAACAGTCTTCAATCATCTTTTCATTTTTAAATTATATTTTTGTCTCACATATATCGTGTCACAAAAAATAAAATATTATAGTATTATTCTAAAAAGTTTTTCCAAATAATCTTCGATTCAAGTCATGGAAAACTTTTGAGATAGCAACATGCGCAAAACAGATTTACCAGAAAATATTGCAAGATTATAAGATTGAGAATAAAAAAAAAAAAGCTTTATGAGAACTTCTCCTACGCAATTTTTTTTTTGGTCAATGGTCAACTTCTCCTACGCAATTGATTTACCTGATTTCCTTCATTTCTTTTTGGGCCTACCAGGGTATAGGTGGCAAATCAACCCATTTAATTAAATTTATCCATACTCGTCCGTGAATAGATGGATATGGATATTTTAAATTTTTGTACATGGGTATAAATGGATTACTGTCAGGGACACCAGATAATTCGACTATCTAGTGTGGAGATTAGAAGGAAGAATTAGAGAAGAGAGGCAGAAGAGGGAAGGAGAGAAGATTGAAGAGAGAGAAAGAATAGAAATTGTTATTTTTTCAAAAATGTTGTTATTACAATTAATGGTGGTCCCCACCTTTATAACAACCTGATTTTGGTTGTTAATCCTAACTGACTGAATACTCACCACTAAACTACATCGTTTTGATTGCAATTAATCCAAGCCTGACAATTCCCTACCCATAAAACAGACTCGTCCTCAAGTCTGAAATTCAGAGAATTGATGTTCAACAGAAGACTTGTCCTCCCAAGATGCCTCCTCATAATCCAAGTGATTCCATTTAATCAAAAACTGAATAACTGGCTTTGCATCTCGCATAATAACCCTCCTTTTCAGAATTACTTCTGGCTTTAATGGACATTGATCCTGAAAGTCTAATTCTGGTAGGGCAATGGAGCTGCCCTACATTGGCCCCAATTTCTTCTTAAGTAAAGACACATGGAACACTGGATGTAGTTTGGAGTCTGCTGGAAGCTTAAGTCTATAGGCTACTGCCCCCACCTTCTGCTCAATCGGGAATGGCTTGTAATACTTAGTTGCTAATTTGAGACATTTCCTGATAGCCACAGTCTGTTGTCTGTAGGGTTGGAGCTTTAAAAACACCCAATCCCCCACAGAGAACTCCCTTTCAGATCTGTGATGATCAGCATACTGTTTTATCCTTTGTTGAGCCTTGGTCAAGTTCTCCTTGATGCAGTTGGATATCTTGATCCTTTCCTGCACCATGTTAGAAACTGCAGGAATCATGGAGTCTAAATACGGTCCCATTGGTAAATGTAATGGCCTGTATCCAAACAAGGCTTCAAAAAGGGTCATTCCCAGACTTGAATGGTAGGTGGAATTGTACCACCACTCAACCAGAGATAACCACCTGCCCCACTGGGAAGAAAGCTCTCCAGTCATATACCTCAGGTAGTTTTCCAAACATTGGTTGAGTCTTTCACTCTAACCATCAGTCTGAGAATGGTAGGATGAAGAGTAATGTAGCTCAGTCCCAACTAACTTGAAAAGCTCTTTCCAGAACTTGCTGGTGAAGATTTTGTCCCTATCAGTGATGATAGACTCTGGTAGGCCATGTAGCTTATAGATGTTATCCAGAAAAGCTTGAGCAACCTCCTTTGCTGTGAATGGATGTGTCAATCTGATGAAATGACCAAACTTGGTGAATCTGTCAATAACTACTAGTATAGTATCATAGCCTTGTGACTTAGGCAATTTCTCGATGAAATCCGTAGCAATGTGAGACCATGCCTACTTAGGTACAGAGAGTGGTTGCAGCAATCTGGGATAAGGAACATTTTCAGACTTGTTCCTTTGACAGACATCACACTTCTGTACAAAGGACACCACTTCTTGCCTTATGCCTGGCCAGTAGAATAAGTTCCTAATTTTCTGCCAGCAATTCCTCTGGCCTGAGTGACCACCTATTGCTGAAGCATGTAAGGCCCGTATAACTTGCTCTCTGATGTTCCCTGCCTCTCCAACATAGATCCTACCCTGGTATTTCAATATTCCATCCACCAGCGTATAGTCATTGTGAGAGTTGGGATCTAGCACTAGTTTAGCTATAATGTCTTGGTAGTGAGTGTCATCCTCATAACTTTTTTGCAACTCTGCAATCCAGCCAGGCTTGACAGAAGTAAGAGCCATACAAGAGCTCAGTGCAGCTTTATGTATAACTTCATGTATCCTAAACAATGCATCAGCCACCTGGTTTCATTACCTTTTTTGTACTGTATCACATAGTCCAACCCCAGAAGCTTAGTCATCCACTTATGTTGAAATGCAGTGTTCAATTTCTGATCCAACATATACTTCAGAGACTAGTGGTCAGTTCTAATGATGAAATGATTCCCAACCAAGTAGTGCCTCCATTTAGTAACTGCCATTACTAGAGCAAGGAGTTCTTTTTCATACACTGATAATCCCAAGTTCTTAGCTGAGAGTGTCTTGCTTAAGAAGGCAATAGGGTGCATCAGAACTGCCCCTATACCTCCTCTACTGGCATCTGTCTCTACTACAAAAGACTTCTTGAAATCTGGCAACTGAAGAACAGGAGCTGAGCATATCAGTTTCTTAAGTTGATCAAAAGAATTTTGTGCCTGCATATTCCATTTGAAGCTATCCTTTCTGAGCAATTCAGTAAGTGGCTTGCAGACAAGCCCATAATGCTTTATAAACCTTCTATAATATCCTGTCAGTCCCAAAAAACCTCTCAGTTCCTTAACAGTTTGTGGTATGGGCTATTGCAGAATGCTTTTGACCTTGGAATCATCCATAGTGACCCCCTGTTCAGTAATGGTATGCCCCAGGTAGTCCACTTGGTCTGGGCAAAGGCACACTTGGATTTCTTCACGTATAGTTGATTACTTCTCAGAATGTCAAACACAATCCTCAGGTGATGCACATGAGCCTCCACTATAGGACTGTATACAAGAATGTCATAAAAAAATACCAGAACAAATTTCCTCAAATAAGGTTGAAATATCTGATTCATCAGTGATTGGAATGTGACAGGAGCATTTGTCAGCCCAAAAGGCATGACTAGAAATTCAAAGTGCCCACAGTGAGTTTGGAAGGCTGTCTTGAAAGTATCCTGAGGTTTCACTCTGATATGATGATATCCAGTTGTGAGATCCAACTTAGTCTTAAGCACAGCACCTGTTAGTTCATCCAGTAGCTCATCCACATTAGGTATTGAGAATCTGTCCTTGACAGTTAATTCGTTTAGCTTCCTGTAGTCCACATAAAATCTCCAAGTACCTTTTTTTTTTTACTAGCAAAATAGGGGAGGCAAAAGGACTATTGTTGCACTTGACTATACCTTTCTGCAACATCTCAGTAACTTGCTTCTCAATTTCCTCCTTATGGCAATGGGGTATCTATAAGGTTTCAATTTGAATGGCTGAGTTCCTAGTTTGAGAGGTATTTCATGGTCCACATTTCTACTGGGAGGTAAGTCACTTGGGGTCTGAAATACATCTTCATAATGTTGTAGTAATTCAGCTACTTCTGAGGGTATAGGGTCAGCTTCTCTTCCTTTATTCTGTGCTGAGCTCATTGCCATACACATCTGCTTCTTGTACTTTATGAATCTCCTTAAATCCTTTCTCCTGATTAGGTCCAGATCACAATCTTCTGCTCTCCCATGCAACTGAATCTCATCTTCCTCATGATGTAAGGATATTCTGAGCTGATAGAAATTGAATGTAATTGGACTAAAGTGTGTCATCCAATCCACTCCCAATATTATGTCCCAACCCCCAAGTTCCATTACTTTGAGGTTGAATCTGAAATTATGTTGGTTAATCCTCCAGTGCACATTAGGACAAATAGCATTACTAGTTACACACGATCCATTGCCCATGATACAGAAAAGGGCTGATCTACCCATTGATACCCAATATCCATGCCAATGACCAACTCACTGTTGATGTAACTGTCTGAGCTTCCAGTATCCACCAGCATGAGCACCTTCTCCCCATCAAGGATGCCCACCAGTGTAATGGTTTTCCTTTTTAGTGCTTCAGATAATGCATGTAAGGACATCTCCATTGCCTGCCCAGGATTCCCTGTCTGTTCATCCTACTTCCCCAACTGCATCTTCAAAGGTAGATTCCTTCTCTTCTTCTAGGAACATGCAGTTTGCATAGCCTACCTTGCACTGGTGGCCTATTCCATACTTTTCCCCACACTTGAAGCATAGTCTATTAACCTTCCTATACTGCATTTCCTGTGTTGAAGGTTTCCTTGAGTCCTTGAATTCCTCTTGAGGGTTTTTGAACTTGGAATGTCTGAAATTGCTACTAGCAGGCACCTTGTATGAGTGACTCCCAGTAGTTGGTGTATTACTCCTTGTCATTCCAAACTTATGCTCCCCTACAACTTCGGTAATGTCCTTAGTATTCCTATGTTAGATCCTGATTGACTGTTCCTGCCACTGTGAAATCTCAAATGCTTCTGTCAAGGTAGTAGGTTTAAGCATCCTGACCATAGGTTTGATTTCCTCTTTTAATCCACTTATGAAACTGGAAACAAAATAGTTTTCATCTAGATTTCGATTCTTAGTCATCATCAGAGGTTTCAGTTCTTCAAACTTTTCCTGATATTCTCTCACACTCCCTTCCTGTTGCAGCTTATTGAACTCTTCTATCACATCTCTGCAAGTACTATCATTGAATCGCCTACACAGTAAATCACTAAATTCTTCCCAGTCCAATTTAGGTTTCTCAATTTTTACCCCTTGAAACCACTTGTCTGCTCTACCTTCTAGATACATTTCAATGACCTCAACTTTCTATTCCTCAGGAACTTGATAGTTCAAAAGATATTTATTACATTTGCGCAGCCAATCCCTAGGATTTGCTCCAGAAAATAACTGTAAATCAATTTTTGGAGGATTTGGAATCTGAAACTTACTCCAGTCCTTCTTGAAGGTCTTCTGAACCTCCATTTCAACCTGTAGTCTCTGGTGAGCTAGAGGAGCAGGTAGAATTGGTGTTGGATCCACGTTCGCTCTTCCATCCTTTTCTGGCACATTATCTTTCCCCGTTGTTATCTTCATCAGTAGGCTGTTAAACTTTTGTTCCAGAATTCTATCAAGATTCTGTTCCGTTCCAGTGACCAGATTCTCCATTCTCTTGTTGCTTTCTTCGAGCTCTATTTTCATTTCGCTCCTTATTCGTTGTTGCTCCGATTGAGCTGAATGCAAGGATTCTAGCAACTCCTGGAGCTTGAACTCCTATTTCTTCACTTGTTCCTCCAATGTTCGAAATCGAGTGCCTTTCGCCATTGAATTTCAAAGCGAGCTCTAAGGATCGATAGATCTGGATACCAATTGTCAGGGACACCAGATAATTCGACTATCTAGTATGGAGATTAGAGGGAAGAATTAGAGAAGAAAGAAGAGAGGCAGAAGAGCGAATGAGAGAAGATTGAAGAGACAGAAAGAATGGAAATTGTTATTTCTTCAAAAATGTCGTTATGACAATTAATGGTGGTCCCCACCTTTATAACAACTTGATTCTGGTAGTTAATCCTAACCGACTCAATACTCACCACTAAACTATATAGTTTTGATTGCAATTAATCCAAGCCTGACAGTTACACATCGTTGAAGAAGAGGAGTTTTGGATTCTTTATTGCCATTGTGCACTGGTTCTATAGTGTTTATCGAGCCTTTGTTTGATTTTGTAAAGTTTAAGTTAATCTATAAAATCACTTATCGTTTCGGAAAAAGAAAATATATAAATGGGTTACCCAATAATACCCAATAATAAATGGGTATTATTGAGTAATCCATCAAATTCAATTAATCCATTTAGAATTATTTTCCCCAAATTTCTTCACTTTCCCCACCCATTTTTTTTTTTAGATTTTGCATTTTGTTATGATGTTAACTACTTTTGTTTCATTATTATTATTATTTGTTAGTTTTATCTTGTCATTTTATTTTCTTTTAGTTTGTTAACCTACTGATTTTTCAGCATTACCAATTTATGATAAGTTTTAGCCACTTTTCCTACCATTCCAAAATGAAATTTTAAATTTACACATAAAAAAATGTTAGGGGTTCAAAATTTTTGGATTAAATTTTTATGTTAATTTTTATAGTACGTAGTTCAAATTTTTATATTCTTATTATTCAATTATTAAATAGTATGTAATTTTGCGACATAGAGTAGGGATAGAAAAAAAATTGGTAATTAGACTTATTGAACATTATAAGTAAATTTTAAAATTAATGATGGATACAAAGGTGGTATAAATTGATAATTTAGTTTGCAAAAATAAATTTAAATGAGTTTACACAAATTTAAAATAAATGGGTTATAAATGGATAATTGAATTACCCAATTCATTTTTTGACTTACTCATTTATACCCATCTAATTAAATGAATATAAATGAGTTGATTCACTTATACCCATTATCCATTTTATTGAACTCACACCCATTTTGACACCTTTACGCTAGGGAAAAGGGGGGCATGGCAAGTAAACAATATTTTGCACTAACTGTTGTGGTACTAACTCGCTTTTCAAGTTCAAGATAGTGTTTATTTGCAAGAAAAAATATCGAAAAGCAAAAGAAAGTTAGTTATTTTTTTCTTTCATTCATGTTTTGGTTAGCGAAAAAAAAGACGAAAAATTTTCTTGCACTTTCTTTCACCTTCCTGCATTTTGTGTATTGCAAAATTTATAGGATTTTGAAGAAAAATACTTTCCTACATTTTGTATACTGCAAAATTTGTAGGATTTTGAAGGAAAAATTTTTAACGGCTATCACTAACTATCATCAACTTCCCATTTCTTGGTAACCAAACATAAACTGGAGAATAACTTTCATTTTTCCTTACTTCACTTCGTTGCACTTTACTTTCTCACGCAATTTTTGTTCTAATCAAACGGAGTGCAGGCGGTTTTAATTTTTCCTTTGAGTCCAGTGGAGGCCTGTTTAAAGTTCAAAGGGCTTTGGTACTTTTGTTAGTGACCCAATCGAGTATGGCTTCCCTTCATTTTGCCTAATATTCTCCACGTCGTAGCCCACAAGCGCTTGTTTGGATATCTAGAATTTCAAAAAAGATTTTCAAATTTTGTTTTGCTTATATCATACACACAATTTTCACAAATATAACGTCACAAAAAGTGTTACAATAATTATTTCAAATAACCTCCCATCCAAACAACACTAGATATAAACCAAAATATTTTTAGACCCAGACTGGTTCTTGATTTTTTTGATTCAACCAATTTAACCGGTCGGTTCACCAGTTCCTTGTTTTTATTAATATTTTAAAAATTAAAAAATGCTAATAATAATAAATTATGTAAAATAAGTACAAAAAACCTAAAATGTAGAATTTTCTCCACGAAATGCATACACCATGCTATTTCAAAAGCAAAATCAATCAAAAAATTAATCATAATTTCTTTGAAAATGTAAAAAAATTAAAGAAAATTTAGAAAAAAATTCAATTCCATCTCTAACTTATCTAGTTTTGCAATGGCTTTGTCAAATCACCACCACCGTATCATCTCATCTTTTTTTTTCCTTAGGCATCATCCCATCTTCAATTGAAGATAATCATTTATCCAAAAATTTTCTCACATACTATACATGTTTCAAAGGTTTCAGATTTACATCAATCTCATCATCATCTTCACGATATACAAAGTAAATCAATTTTTCACATCTAAGTCTTCTAAAATCTTTTCATTATCCTAAGTGTGTAAAGATAAAATATGAAATAATACCAAAAAAAAAACAGAAGTAGCAATAACAGTAGCCCTGCTGCGGTAGTGGTGGGGATGGCAGTAGCGACGTGAGTGGTAAGAGATGGCATCAGGTGCTTGTTGGCAGTATGGGTGTAAAGAATAAAAATAGCATGGTCACCAGAGAATAAGGTAGGGTTGGTGTTTCTTTTAGTTGATATAGATTTTTTTTTCCTATAAAAACCCTCAAGAAAGTTAATATAAACACATTTGAAAAGAAAATGAGATTTGGAGAAGAGAAAAGGAGGTGAAGAAATAGAGAAAAAAAGTTAGAGGAACAATTGAAAAGAGGAGTTAATAGCTGGTGACTTTAGTTTTTGGGTTTGTGTGATTTTATTACTTATTTTACTTTTTAATAAGTTAAAAGTTAAAAAAACTGCAGTTTTCGCAGTTCACCGATTTGATATCGATTTAATAGTTTTGATCGGTCTTGACCCTTTTTTCACATTGTTCGGCTTTTGTGCTCAACTAGACAGGGAACATGGTCAATTCGTGGTTCAATCAATCAAACCAACTGGTCTAATCCGATTTTAAAAACATTGATATAAACATAATGCAGTCCAACTACTCTTTCATCTTGTAATATCTATACAAGTTAATTTTTTAAAATAAACAAACCACAAATTTATAATTTAATCATGTGGTCAGATATTTTTTTTCTTCTAAAACTGGCATTTACACTCAATCAAGTTCAGATTCATCCTATTTGTGTCGATGTGCTTCAAATTTGAGGACAAATCATGAATTAGCAAGCATATGACAGGAGTGAATAGAGTTGGAATAGTGCGTTACTCGAGTTTGAGTTCGATTTTATTTTAGTTTATTTGAGTTTGAGTTCAAGCAAGATTGGATCTTAACTAAATGGAGCTCAATTAACTTAATTGAGCTCAATCAAGCTCAAGTGGTACAGCTTGATGAGTTTTCAAACCTCACGTATAAGCCTCAAGTTCAAATTCATCAAATTATTCGACCTCCTTGAACTCGACTCAAGCTTAGTCAAC